AGGGCTCCTGCCGGTGGAGATGACACGTTCACAGCCTCCTCGGGCGATCCTGACGCACCGACGGACGGGGCGGAGACGCAGTGGCCTCGGGCTGCGTTCGTTGGAAAGAACAGATTCTTGCCCCAGGAACCCAAGTGGTAAGATGCAGAGTTTTGAAGGCAAATCCGCCCAAAGGTCGTGCAGAAACGGGCAGGCGCCCAAGTCCCAGGCAGTCCTTTCCATCCCTCCTTGCGCCCTCTCGGTGCGGCTTTTCTCCCTCCGCTCGCCCCTCGTTTGTCTTCTGCACGGTTTGGCTTCTCGCTGGACCAGCTCTGTCCTCCCAGCTCTACCTAATGTTTCAGCTCCGGGACCCACAGCTCTGTGATATCGGGAAGCGGGGGAGACTTAATTCGCCCGAGTGGTTATGGAAAGAAAACGACAGGATTCGATTCCTTAACGTGCAACTCGGTTTCTCGTTTGCGAGCCAGAGCGCGTCTGCGATCCCCGTAAAAGTGTCTCGTTTCCTGCTGTCACAGGGCCTGGATCTGTGCGGGTTTCTAAATTAAAATGACAGTCGCAGAGTTCCTCGCATGGAAGTTAGGCATCGACTTGGATATGAGGAGATCTGGGTCTTGGAAGGGGGGCCTGTGGTTGTACCGAAATGAAACTGAGCATTTGAACCCCAAAGTCATTCCAGCCTCGCTCGTCGGCGATGTCCTATCTGAGGAGACGGCCTTCCCCTCCCTGGGATAAACTCGCCTGGGGCAAAAGCCTTCACAGAGGATGCTCTCCCCCCCCCAGGTAGGCCACAACTACCCCGAGTGGCCCCCAGATCTCATAAGTAGGATCAAAGATAAACACGATCCTGGGAGTTACGTGCATGGCCTGACCAGGAGGAAATAGCTTGCACATCAAAGTGATTGCAAGACTTTGCTAACACGCGTCGCCAGAAACCTGAGCAACCTGTCGGAGGGGTTTCATGAGTGTTGAACTAATAGGGGCAAAAGATAACGCTGGACTGGGCGACTTCAATAACGTCAGGATATGTTCTAGAGACTTCAAATGGGTATTTCCTATTGACTTTTAAGATAATTTAAAACTCTCACTTTAAGAAAAAAAATATATATATATATATTGATTTCAGAGAGAGGAAAGGAGAGGGAGAGAGAGAGAAACGTCAATGATGAGAGAGTCATTGATCAGGCCCGCAACCCGGGCATGTGCCCTGACGGGGAATCAAACCCTGATCTCCTGGATCCTAGGTCGACGCTTAACCCCTGAGCCACGCCCGGCTAGGCTCACTTTTTTATTTTATTTTAAAAAACCTTCTGTTCCTGTTTCCTTCTAGTTTTAACCCTGTCTCTTCTCCTGCCACAAGTGTGTTCCCTCCTCTCCTCTCCAGGGCTGAACCCCTTCCGGTCTAACTGTCCCCGCATCACTTGACCAATANTGGTCTAACTGTCCCCCCATCACTTGACCAATACAAGTCTTAACAAAGTCACCGGCGACCCCCGTGCGGCTGGTTCTGCTCAGTGACCAGTATCTACCTGGGAGAGTTGACGTTTTACACTTTAAGAAATCAGTAGGTGTGACCCGGATGTGCTTTCTCCTTTGCCTGGCCGTTGTAGGTCTTCTGCGACTTCCACGGCCACTCCCAGAAGAAGAACGTGTTTGTCTACGGCTGTAGCATCCAGGAGACCCTGTGGCAGGCGGCGTCCGCTGGGGGCGCGTCCGCTGTCCTGGAAGACGTCAGCTACAGGGTGAGTCCGAAGGCCTAAGATCCCATTTTTAGTAAATAAATTACATCAGCCATTAAGATCTCCTCACAAATACAATGCGGTCCCGTGGCCTGTGGGTGAAGTCTATTGAGATAGTAAAGAAACAGCATTGAGCATCTGGCATCGTATCGAAACCTCTTCGCGGTCCTGCGGGGTAGCAAGGCCTCATGGAAGAAGCAGCTTTGGCTGCTGTTAAGCTCACGCGATCTGGGGTGAAATTCTGGCTTTGTCGCGGCCGACTCAGGCCACATTGCAAAAAAA